TAGGGGAGAGGAGATTTTAGATGGGGGAGGGGGGAGGGGGAGAAGAGAAGCTCTCTCCCTTTTTCGCTTCCATCTTTCCCCTTTTCCCCAGAAACGCCTGATACTCAGGCTAAGATGCTGTAGCCAGACGCTACTGGATGTGACAAAATGATGATGATGATGATGATGATACCTTTATTAAAGTGTCAAAAACTGTAATAGCGGTGTATAACCAGTAAGTGGGGACATTAAAATAAGTCAAAAAAGAATAAATCAATAAATAAATTAATTAAAAATGGAAAAAAAAAAAAGAATATAAGAATTAAGAAATCAAGAAAAACTATGTACAGTATAAGCAAATAAGAAATTCGGGAGAACTATATACGATATGTACAAAACTGAATGCAAGGCTGGCACTACGACAAAGGGCTGATTTATTTTAAGCCAATATTTCGGCTAACAAAATTAGCCTTCCTAAGAACCAGAGCTATACCGAGAGAAAAAATTTTTTAACGGCTCCTAAAATTTAAATTTAAAATTTACATAAGTGGTTTATAAGTAGTTTTTGTACATTTGTAAATACTAAATAGAATAATATACAGGTAAAAAAGAAAAAAGAAATAGAAACAGTTCAATGTTCAGTCCTTCGGTTCAGACCGTCTGGTGATTGGGTTTTACCTCTATCTATGAGGAACGCTTCTCTTGCCTTACGGCGTGGCGCGTGACATGCTGAGAGTGGGTTGTAATTCCAGAATGGAATAAGTTCCATATCTGCGATCGAGTGGCCAGTTGATTAAAGTGGGGAAGGGACTCGGCTGCTGTGGTGTTTGCGTGGAGTGGATTGTTTGTTGCCTGTCTATGTTGTTTAAAGCAAACACAAAGTGTGCGATTAGTTTCACCTATATATTGTTTTTTAAATCTTTTACATTGGATCATATATGTTTGGTTTGTTTGTTTTGTTGTTGCTGTTTTTTTTTCATTCTTCTTGGGCTCCTGATAACTTTTATTTTCTTGCAAAGGATATATAAATCATTACAACAACCGAGTAAGACCTACCTAAACCGACACCAAAGTAAAATTTTGATTCCTGGCCTGATGTATCCTCGGAGACCCAGAGGCAGTTAGTCGGGTCGACCACGGACATCTTATCGACCCGACTAACTGCCCCTGGGTCTCCGAGGATGGGCCTGATGCCGAGACAACAGGGTATGGCGGCTACTTGTTTACCTTTAACTGCTTTTTGCTAGTTTGTCCATGTATGAGACAACAATAAATGACGCTTATAGTAATAAATTGCTCGCATTTATTACTAGAACAATGCATTGAAATTTGTTACGAATCATTTTTCTTCCCAGAAGCCCTCACTACGGCAGCAGAGGTCGGAACGAACTGATTGAGCAAACATCTCGTGGACTGTCTTGCATGCACAACAAATATCTGGTGCTTCTAACCCATCGTAAGTACAATTTTATGCCATACCGTTTTCCTCAAATTTTTGTTTCAGTCCCTCCCACCCTCCCAACCAAAGCAAGAACCACGGTTTGCTTGGAAACGTGCTCCTTTTTTTTCTTTTCGTTTTCGACGTTTGGCTCATGGTTGAGAAGCAATACTATAAAATAACATCAAGATGAATAGCCTTGTGGACGTAAAACTTCGTGCTACGAGACACAACCTACGTCATCATGGGGTATGCAGTGAAACATTGGTTCCCAGTGAACTCGTTTCTTGATTGGTTCATTTAACTCAAGTTTAACTGTAACACAAAGCAAAAGATTTATCGAAAGAAACAAAAAAGGCTTTGAAAAGAGTTATATTTTTAATCGACAGATTGCCGAGATTTGCTAGCAAAGCTTCTCAAACCGAGGCCTGAGCTGCGCTTGCCCCTGCTAGATGTAATGGTGCACCCATGGGTAACTGTACAAGGAACCTCGCCTTTAGTACCTTTCACAGAACAACCCATTGACGAGAAAATACAGGATAAGGTAAGTCACTGGAAAAAAAAAAAAATACAACAATACTTTTCCCTAAAGTGTTGCATTTTATTTTATTCTATCCGGTCAGTTTTCAATTTTTCGTCACCTTGAACTCATGAAGGATCACTACTAAGAACGAAAACAGCTCAACCTGAAAGACGCTTCTGAAACTTTCAAAAACGCTTTCCCACTCTTGAGTATTTTTGTATTCAAATTTAGTAACGTCGAATTTTCTAAATAAACAATACGTTTACATTGTGAGTACGAAATAAGTTTTCAAGAAAGTTCTTGTACCGAAACTTACGATAAACAGTTCGCGTAGAGCGGTACACAAATACAATTCTTTTAAGTCACACCTTAATATTTACATTGCCTCAGGTTTTAGAAAAAGTCTCACAGCTAATCAAAAACCACAAGTCCAAGATCGCTCTCCATGTTCACCAGAAAAGGTACGACGCCATTACAGGTGTTTATAATCTTCTCCTTGACGAAGAGTTGAAATGCGCCTCCAAATCTAACAACGAGAGACGAATACAGACAGAAAACACTCGGGCGAATTCTGTGATCAAGGTCTCTATCAAGTCTACTGCAATTGAGACTGCTAACCAGAAGACTGGTGACCAAAATAGATTACAGGACTCTGAGAGCTCGAGCAGGTCTGAAGGCCAAGACTCGCAACCTGAGGCAGAGAAAGACTGGGAACAAACTACCACGCAGAAACCAATAATTTCCAAGCCACAGTAAGTTGGATAAAAATAAATGTCACGTTAAATGTACTAGCAGTCGTCCTGAGATGTGTTTCTGTTTCTGTCTTTCTTTATTTAAACATATTTTACAGGCGAAGGTTGCCCTAAGAGCAGCTAAGAGGAACAAAACTCATCGAGAGGGCTCACCTCTGGTGTTTAAAAACGTTGTATATGTAATAATTTTGATTTTTTCGTTTTCCTCTTTTAGGGAAAATCTCGTCGAAAGACCGCTTGAGGTTAGTGGATCCATCGTTTAATATTCAGTAGAGACCATTAAGATTCTGAGACGAGTACTATTACGAGTACGAGATTTTCTCAATACTAAATAGTGCTTAAGCTTGAACCAGCGTCATTCTGGCGGGAAAACATGATTGCCGTCGTCATTCTACTAGGAGTTTTAGCGAGAATGTCTTGGTAAAGGAAACAAGTTATAAAGTGTTTAATAGAGGTTTTATCATTTTGCGGCCGGGAGATGGCTTAACCTTCTTCATTCAGTAAAGATAACTGTGCTAATTTTTTTGGTGAAAAAGAAGTGCAATGAAGCTTTCTGGGGTGTCTGTTATTTGAAAATACGCGAAAAAACTTTAAGTCAAATGTCGTACTCGTAGTCTTTCTCGCCTTAGAATCTAAAGGTGTCTAGTAAATCTTAGCCTCATTACTTTCTTAAAATAAAGAAATAATTGTGCCGCCGACCCGGCTGTACAGATCCTGTCCTACTTTGAGGCCCCGTTTATATGGAGAAACGTTGTCCAGGGTAGAAAGATCATCCGCCAACCAGATCGAGCCACCCTGGGGCGAGCCATCTTTTGATACATATCCTTAAAAACTGTGGCGAACCGTTGTCATCAGAAACAAAACGTTGGCTTGGCTAGAAGGGTGACCCGAATAGACGGGCCAATTTTTCTCCCTTTAAACACTTTGACTCGCCCAGCCGGTTTAAGTGGGTCAAGGCGAGACAAGCAGAGCATGCGCGAGCGCTGGTTTACACAATCAGAGCATGCGCTAGGGCTTTTGGCTCGTGCAACGGGCTAAGGGTCAACGTTTTCCTCAATTAACTCTCGCTAAAGTTGACTCGGCCTTAAGGGTGACTATTCTACCCGGGGTAGGTTTTCCCCCTATGAGAGAGGCCTAATTATCACAAGAATTAAAAGCTAATAGTCGCAACCTGGGAAACGGTATTTTTGCTCACCATTATTCTGTTATAAATCTAACGGTTCGTTTAAATAATAATAATAATAATAATAATAATAATAATAATAATAATAATAATAATAATAATAATAATAATAATAATAATTGCGTTATTTTTACCCTCGGCAGTATTCATAGCACTTATGCTAGCAGGCCGGCCGAGCAAATGACTGAAACAAATATTCAAATCAAACATAACGGGGTTAAGAATCCCAACTGGCAGGAGGCAAGCCAGCTGGCTATTTACAAACGTGGTCGAGGATCTGAACTCGGCACTTCCGTGAACAAATCCAGTTAACGGTCAGGGCGGGACGTGAACTCGGAGCCTCCAAAATGCAAGTAGCGCTCTTACTGCTCGGCCACGCTGCCTTCTACTTCATTTGAAAAGTATGAGGCATGTAGTATACTACTGATTTCAAACGCTCCGTAGCAAGCATTAGAATGAGATGGCACAAAGTTTAGGACACCTTAAGTTATTTGCTTGAGCAACAAATGTGCATAGATAAGAGACACTATTTTCAAAGCCATTTAACTCATAGTGTCGTGTGATTTGTTTATTTTCTCAGGGTTTACGGATCAAGGGTTTAAAGATCTGCTCTTTTGAGGAGCTCGGACTATCTAACAGCCACACCCACGCCAAGACACGCCCAAACAGCGCTACACCTGTCCGAACATACATAGAAAGCCCTTTGAAACCAACGAGTGGGCCACCTCGAGCCTGGAAAAGAGCAAATAGGGCAAGGTGTAACTCATGTATCCCTCGGTTTACCCCGAAGTTTGACAGCAAGTTACACGGAAAGCGTGTTGTAATGTCCCCTCGAAGGAGACAGGAGCCCGAGTGTTTGGCTTCGCAGTGGGAATCTAAATTGAGCGCACTGATCACTGAAGCAGGCGAGGAAGGATGTAGCCATTGTGAAGATTTGAAAAGTAGCGCAAGTTCCTCGGGCGAAAATTCACCAGAAAAAAATTCTACCGACGTTCAACCCGAGAAACCCGATGCGCAACTCGAGTTCGGGGAGAAAACTGAAGTCATGAGCCAGGAAAACTTAGGGAGCTCCTCAGGCCGCATGGGCCCAAAGAACTGTCATTTAAAAGATACACCTGGGTTAAAACCAAGCCCGGAGACGAGTAAATCCGAGGGGAAACAGACTGCTCAGATACTTCAAACAAGCCCCAAGTCTGTGACCTCGAAAAGGGTAATTGGGTCGCACAAAGGAATGCCTCCATCTTCACTGGCCTCGCAGACAATTAATCGGGCTGTGTCGCCGCTAAGAGCAAGCCAGTTTGTTGATCTTACCGATTATCACAAACACGTCCCTCAGCCGCCGAAGGCTCGTATTGCAGGGCAGCTGGGCTGTGAAACAAAACTGGGGTGTAAAGAAGGTGAAAACGAAGGACAGATTAACAGGTAAACTCTTTCACAACGGGTCAAACCCAAATAAAAAAACAAAGAAATAACTCAACGCGTATCAAGAAAAGGGGATCAAATTCATGAAAACAACAGGATTTGTTCTCTGGTGTTGAAACGGCCATATCTGGTCATTTTTAAAATGGCCAAAACAATGGCGTAACCTGCACCATACAAAGAACAATTAGAACTCCATGCTGCCGTTAAAGTTGGGGTAAAACAGGAAACAAAAACGTGCAGCTTGTTTTGTAACATTGCTGCAAGACGAGTCGAAAAGGAATGTTGCACGTTTTAACACCAACGTTTAAACCTGTCTGGCAACAAACCAGACTGTTTCAGTTTGCGAAAAGGTGTTGCAGAAAGCAGAGAGTGAGTTGTCTTTTACAACAAAACCTGCACATGTTGCGCGTTTTACCGAACCAAGGCAAACATGTTTTGCGGCAAGTGACGTAAACCCCGTGTAAGGTAAGACTCTCGCGTAATTTCATCCAAGCAGACGACAGTACAAGTGTTAACGCAAATTGAAGCGCCCTGATTTGTCTTGGGTTTGAACGTGGGTGGTAAAACACGCAACACCGTTTTCAACTTGTTTGCAGCCATTTTTGTTGCCTGTTTTACCGCACCTTAAGGGCGGGGAAACACTTAACGGTTGCTGAACGCGGGAAAGCTGTGACGGAAGCAAAGCGTCCCTCTGCGGGATTAGAACGAACGTTTGAGGCACAAACTGAGAAGGTATCAAACAGAATTGTTTGCTATTTACCATATTAGCTATGCTTGGGGGCTTGAAAAGGGTCTTATAACTGAGCCAGGTCAATGAAGAAAGTAATATAGTAACACAAGGTAAATTTGTGATTTTCATTCGCAGTTTCTCTGCAGCATACAACTCTTACCTCAAGATCAGCAAACCACAACACCGTCGCCTGTCAATAATGCAAGCGCAAGAAATTCTCCAACACGAGTCTAAGTTTCAACTCAAATATGGCAGAAAACTGAACGCCGCAGAAATTTCTACCAATAACTCTGACTCAAACAAGTCTTCCGATGACCAGGTGTCACGCCTTGATAACGCAAGCAACAGCACGCATGCGTCCGTCGCTGTTGCAAAGAAATCCAATAAACAACAGTATAACAATCCTAAGCCTGGTTACCTCAAAGGAGTAAAGCTTCACGGAGATCAGAGAGAAATTATCCTTGCCGGTGTGAAACAAGAAATAATTTTCGAAAAACAAGCTGCGCCAAGCCAAGATCGTCTTGTAGGACCAAATCTGTCGGCTGAAAGAGGTTACAACGAAGAAAGCAAAATAAAGAACGAAAGCGAGAAGGGAAACGAAATCCAGGAACATTCAATTGATGTTTTGCCTCGACCGACTCGGCCATCACCCGAGGCCGGTTTCAATCACCCGACGCCCGAAACCCGACTAAACCCAAAGCAAGAAGAATCCCTGAAGAGACAAAAGGAAAAGGAACAAACGGAAAACCACGAGCGAGAAAAAAAGAAATTTCTAAAAGAACTGGAGGACCAACAACGTCAAAAAATGATCACAGAATATCTTCAGCACGTTTATTCACAATATGGCCGATCACAGCCCTCGCCTCGTGCTGGGAACAAACCAGAGCTCAATCCGCGCACCTATAAAGTATCCAAACGAGGGCGCGTTTATTCGGTGACCACTCGTCCCGCGGAGAAACCGGGCTCCGACGCACCGCGGGTCATCACCAGGCCAACGCCCATTCTTCACCAGGCCGCCAAAGGCGCGCAAGGGGATAAAAAAATCGTTTTCAAAACTCAGTCGGGAGTGAAAGCTACTAATGGTGTGAGGTTTGTTAATGACTGGAACAACAGCGTGTTTACAGAATACATAAACAGCTCCGACGTCGACACAACCGACGGGAAGGAAAAAGACAAACTTCAGGTACTGTAAATAATTTTGTAGTCAGATGGATGGCAGAACAGTTCGTTTTTCAGCTAATTTAAATAATTCAATACCCACATATTGATGGACAGTATTAAAGAAAGACTTCTATGGCAATACACTCCGCATTTAGTGTGATATACCGTAGAATTTATAAGTTAATCTTTTCAAAGAGAAAGTCACAAACCAACCTCGTCCCCAGGGCTTTTCCCTCAAAAGGGAAAAGCCCTGGGGACGAGGTTGAGTCACAAACGTCACACTTGTGACTTTCAACAGTGTTAAGTCAAGAAAAGTTATTTAGCTTTCAAAAAATTTCATACAAACCATTGAACTTCCCACCACCAGCACTTAATGTAGTTATACGGTCTCTAACAGTAAGCTTGAAGAGTTTCTTAATTCATTAAGTCGAAAACGTGAACACAGTTTTCAAATGAAAAGTGATACAGAATCTCATCTCTAGCCTGAGAAAATACCGTAAAATTCCGAAAATAAGCCCCTCCATGTAAAAGTTCCTCCAAATATAAGCACCCCAAACCGGTAACGCAAAAAACCGTCCGTTGAATCGCCCCTCCAAATATAAGCCCCCCGGGGGCTTGTACTTGGAAAATTGTCCTCAAATACAAAGTAAAACAAAGCAAAGACAGTACATTTACTTCCAACTATAAGGCTAGCCCAATCGATTTTGAAACGCAAATATCCCTCCGTAGATAAGCCCCTACAAAAATAAGCCCCTCAAAAAGGGCCTTTGAAAAATATAAGCCCCGGGGCTTATGTTCGGAATTTTACGGTAGCCGACATTTCGCGACGCAACTATTGGTTTCCCCGCGAAATGACGTCTGAGAGACGAGTGTAGGAATTCCAGACATGGGAAGTGCTTCTGATTGGTTGAAAATTTTGATTCAGGAGCACTATTGAGATCTGGGCAGTCAGGCAGGAATTTCTGCTCTCGTTTCTCAGACGTTATTTCGCAGGGAAACGAGTGATGGCATCGCGAAATGTCGGATGGTTTCTCAGGCAACAATATATCTGAAATGGTTTTATTTGTGCGGCAGGTAAAAGACGCAAGTTTTTGGTTGGAGCAGCACCTAAATGGCGTACTGGATGAGACAACAGTCACTAGGAAAGACCTTCACAACTACCAACAACTTTATATACCTAGAGAGACTTGAACAAAATCACGGTCGCAACTATTAGCGCTTAAAAAAACAAAATTCATTAAAATTATAAAAAATGTATGAAAGCAAACTACTCGTTTCTCATATCATCAGAGATTAAAAATAAACTGGAGGATTTATTTTGGAATAAATTGTACAAAGGCATCGCCACAAAATTACATATTTATTTATACGACAAATTTTCTACTTTCGTAAAATATTACAATTTACCAAAGAGGACGACAATTTAAACCATATTTTCATGACTGTGCCAAAATTTAACAACACACAGTCTTAACAGTCTTCAACAGAGCATCCAAAATTCACGATCAAAATTTATTTTGATGTAAAGGTATTTATTTTAAAATTTGTAACCGAGACAAAGCGATAAAACTTGTATTAAATACAACAAATCCCAGAGTTTTTAATTCAATTTTCTTAAACCGTATACAATTTCTTACTTCAAAATGATACGTGTTGGTTGTATATTTCAAGAGAGTAAAAATAAATTACTAGCTTATTTACATGACCTTTAGTTTATAACAACGATATTCCTTGTAATTTCTATTTAGTCTTTTGTCAAAAACTCCCACCGTTTTCATGACCTTTGGAAGAAACTTTTTCAAGCCAGAAACAATAAAGAGTTACTTCTTCCTTCATTTTCAAACCGAGGCACAGCTCGAAGTCTTTGATATGAAAAATCAAAATCATTTTCACATAATATGTTTTCCAATTTGCCTAAGTTTGAAAGTGAAGATTGTTGGAACTCAGAAATGACCAATTGACGAAGTGCTTCATTTTGTTGCTGCCACGCGATCTGAAAACAACCAATGGGCGCAAATAACTGAAAAAGAGACGAACTATTGTTGCGGGAATTATTCTTAGTTTTCTACTACATTCTGGTACGGGCATCTTTTGTGTTACGTCATTTGGCGATTGTAAAACCACGAAACTGAAATTCTCCTGAACTCAAGTGGGTTAGAGTGGGAGACCTGGGTCCAAAGGAAGACTAGCAACTCCCGAGTTGGTTGCCATGACAACTTAGATGTCATGTTCACAGTTTACCAGAGATGAGTGAAAAAAAAAAACAACAATTACAAAACGGATAACCAAACAAATCATATAACCGGTGCTTACGCTGACATGCTTTCTAACTGATGAAATCAAGACTCGACTCTTTTCAACGCAACCTATGAAGCAATCATTTCATTTCTCAAGTAGGAATATTCTAAATCAAGAAATGTTTCTGCATTTTACCAGTTAGTCTCCTGCACAGACTTGCGTCACGAGAAAAATGCACATCTGCGTGGAAGGCTATTTACCAGTCTTGTTCATTGAAATAGAGAATTTTTATGGGTACTAATTAAGGTGGAGGACGAAAGTTCCAATCAAAGGCCTGAAAACCGCTTTTTTTCCTCGCTCGTTTTGTTAATTGGTTTAGTTCAAATTAGAACCTTTGAAAGAGGTACGACTAAGATCAAATTTCATAGTCGCTGCTCAAACGTTAGTACTGTTAAGTCACGAGTTGCTGTCACCTGCCGTCCCAGACCCCAAGCTTGCCATTATTAAAGCAAACGTTATGTGTTGGATATGGAATAACGGAGGCTGAGGAACCAAGCCCCTGAGGCGAGAATGAGTTCATTTCGTTGGTATATTCTTGAAAGAGAGTGGCGTCCTGCAAAAAAAGCGTACGCGAACGAAATCAACACCTCGATGAAGATTTTTCGTTGAGTGTTACGCACGTTTTGTGTTACAACCCATGAAATTCAATGTTACGTGTTCAAAAAAAGGATTGACTTTGAAATATAAATACGTTATATTAGATGAAACGAGAGAGGACAAAAATAAACTACAGACTGAAATAAAGTTAAAGATATTCTACATGTATGCCCTGAAAACAGTGTGTTGACAAACATAAACAACTAAGGAGGTGGGGGTAGGGTCCGAGGGGAAATGAAAGAAAAATATTTTTTTTTCAGTAAACAAATTTCAAGAGTCTTTAAAGACTCACAGCAAAATTCAAAACAAAATCGAGTATTTTAAATGAAGATATGATCGTCGCAGTGGTAATTGCAATTTAAGCAATTCCAAATTAACCAGAAAAAATTTCCGGACTTCGACGGGATTCGAGCCCACGGCCTCTGCGTTAGGGCTGCAGTGCTCTACCAACTGAGCTATGAAGACCCATACATTAGGAGCAGGTCAATTTATTGAGTTCATCTTAACCCGTGAAAGGAATGCGGAAACACAGAATGAAGATGATGTGAACTGCGGAAATACAAAATCGAATATTTCGCTCGAATCGCTCAACCTTCATCGGCGAAGTGAAATGGCAGGTTACCTAACAGAAAGATTGTTACGTATTCCCAAGGGAGGATTGTAAATGGCCGGGATTGTAAATGTTACCTGATGTTTAGAAATAAAATCCAGAAGTCGTAGAGTAAGTTTTCGGCTTGAGTGAACAAGGGAATTCAAGCTACGTAAAAAATGAAGATGACAAAAAGTTATCAAGTATTCGTCAAATTCTGATTTCAAGAGAAGAAAAATATGAACAGAAAAAAATGCATATCAAAAAAATACCTTTCATCATGACATAATCCCTTTGTGGAAATCTAACAAAAACAAAAGCAAAGGATTTAAGTCACTTAGGAAAATGAAATACCGCAAACTGCCCGAGGCTTATACATCTTTCGTACGGGGTTTTAGGAGGAGGGCTTGTAAACGGAGGGATATATATCCCGGGGGGCTTATAAGCGGAATAGAAAAAAGCCCTTGGAAAAAAGTTGTAGTAGCGCTGATTAAAATATAGTTTTTGCATTTACTGGTTTTTAAGTTTAAAAGCCTCAAAACGTCACAATAACAGAATCATATTCAGAGGGGGACTTATACTCGGGGGGTGGGGTGGGACTTATAATCGGATGTATGTTTTGTTTAAGTGGGGTTTGGGGGGGTGGGGGGGGGGGCTATAAGCGGCAGTTGACGGTACTGAGAAAATGTGAAATATGACATCAAAGTCACGTGAGGGATACCTTTTGATAAACTTGTTTGCTCAGATCGCCATCAAATAACGGCAAGCCGTAACAGAGATCTAATGGCAGCCATTTATCAGCGCTTTCATCTCCGGCTTCCTTCGTCTTCTCCTTTCCAACCACTACCATATCATCAACAGAACTGTACAACAACGGATCGGCTCCGTCTTCTTCGTTCTGCTCTTCACTCGCCGAGTCTGTACTGCTATCTGTATCGTTAATGACGATAAGGGGCGACAGCGACTGAGGATTGGTCTGAGCAGGCGATGGCATCCCGAAGTTTGCCGAGATGGTTCTTCGGCGCGCATTCGCCGCCTGCTTCTTGATCGAGGGTTTGAGCATAGTAATAAAGCCACAGGTATGTTCAAGGTCGATGCATTTCGCTAGCTTCTGAATTGTGGGATGTGCCTCCATATTTTCCTCAGAAAACGGCTGGCCTGTTGAAAGTAACTTCGCAATTACTGGTTGTAATAATAGGAACCTTAAACCCGATCCAACGACGTCGACGGCGGGGAGAAAGCCGCTTATAAAGCGAATTCGCATTTTTTCGTCACTTCGTGAAATAGACATTTTCCGCATGTCGTAGTCATGCAGTGACGGCAAAGAAATGCACAAAAAAGTGCGAGCCACGAGAAAAGTTGTCATTTTGCTCATTAAACATATTGCTTTGTGACGTTCTCGTTGCCGTCACCATAGCCTGCGTCGCAGACGTAAATATATTGAACCTCGGTTAGTAACGTCTGCGAAGCAGTGCTAAAAGGGAGCTTAAGCAACAACGACAGCGACGGCTACGAAAACGTCACTTAGGCCCGGGATCAGACGCCGAACTTTTGAGCCGAACCTAATACGTAATAAGTTCATGAAAAATTCGGCGTCTGAATCAATTAGGAATACCTGTTTCAATTTGGAACGGCTCAGCCGTTCTTTTCGCCTAGCCCGGCCGGGAATTTAGCCTTTAGAGCGACTTTGGAACGGCTTTGATTCAGACGCCGAACATTTCATGTACCAAACCTAATGCATAAATTGTTATAATGTATTTTGTAAGCAGTTTGACCGAAATGAGCATTCTTCGCCTTTTGAACTTAGTTCAGCTGCAATTAAGATCGGCGTCTGAATCAATTCAGCCAGTCTAAATAATTTGGGTCGGCCTTAATTCGAATTAGGTTCGGCTCATGAAAAGTTCCGCGTCTGAAGCGCTCCTTAAAAAAGTGAATTCACGCTGCTTCAAACTTAATCGCGCTATTCCAACTTGTTCAATTCGTCAACTGTTGGCGAAATTTTCTGGACTAATTCCAAAGGACTGTATCAAAGTTGAGGAAAAGAAAAAGAAAGTTGTTGTCTTATGTTCCCATCCTTAACAAAATTAGGCACTTTCAAGTTGTAAGTCGTGCAGTGACGGCAAAGAAATGTACAAAAAAAGCGTGAGACACGTACAAAGTTGTTGTTTTGCCAAACTAAACCTACTGTTTTTTTCTGGGCCCCCAACGGACTCAACGAATTACCGGAAGTAGGTTCGAATATTATTTCCCTTCAACCTGATTGGCATATTGACAACGGCTTTTTTAATAGGCCAATCATTGGGCGTACTCAAATCATGGTACACAGGTGGGGACCCAAGGATTTCGTCACTGTTTCGCAGACGGACCTAACCAGAATCTAGTTTCGTCTTCGGCGTAGGCTACCGTCGCCATTGTCAGATCTTAAGGCTGCTAATAAAACTGGGCAAATGCTTTGTCTTATATCAGTACATTATTTGGGATTATTCATGTATATTTCCTGCCCTCACCGTATTTACAATCCAAAGGGAAAGGCACATACACCACTTCACCCTCGGTATGAACTCCATGAGCCTGTGATGACAAAAACAAGGTACGTTTTGTTAATTCTAACAAGATCAAATTCTGAAATAATTCGTAAAACAGTGGTAGTAATACCCCTTTTCCCTTTGTTCTCAGACTGAATCTTCGTAAGGCCATCTGATGGGCTGAAATTATTCCAGAAGAGTACAGTCAAAACCCGCGACTAGGAACCTGTACTTTCCCAAGTTTAGCCTAAAGAGGTTCTTACATAAATGGTAATAAGCACAAATTTACTAGGCCATTTAGGTTCTTATTTTATGAAGTAAAAAAATACATTGTAGCTGAGGGTATTCAACTCATTCCTTCGGTAAAACCTGTATACCATTACAATCGTAGAAGGAGTAATAACGCACCTATGTTTCTAAAGGGGATCCTGAACCTTGACATATTTTACTTGCCCAAGTGTACAGATTTTTTTATATAGATTTTAGAAAATAAGAACCTGTTTCAAGTTTTAGGCTAAACAGGTTCCTATATAGAGTGGGCCTAACTGGCAAATTTAAGCCTAACAGGTTCTTAAAATCTAGGTTCTTGGTCGCGGGTTTTTACTGTATGTCACGACAAGAGAGAGATCACTGACAACGGCGACAACCTCGATAGTTTACGAGGAAGGCGTTTCAAAGTGAAGGGGGCAAGGAAAAATCGCGCAAGCGAGAATGTGACTTTGGTGATAGGAGATAGTGCGCGAACGCAGACGTATTTCTGGTCGTCGCTTCTCTTCACCCTAAAAGTAGAGAGAAGCGACGACCGAAAATAAGAATTTTTCTTTATCTTTCTCCAAAGAAACTGCCGGCGAACTGTTTACAACTCAGCTCACTCTGGATTTTCCGTATAAAAAAGGGAGTAACGCAACACTTGGTAAAAGCCTATCTGTTTCCAAAGAGATAGGTTCTAAGCTCACCTGCACAAGTACTGCAGAGTGCGACAAGGCATCATTTAGAGCCAACAGGACGTTTGAAACTGGAACAATCCCGGGGTCGTGTCCCCAAGTTGTTATCATTAGCCTTTCATAATCCTACAAAAAAAACCAACACAAAATAACTCGTGACAAATGTTAAGGTCGAACCTTTGGAAAACCAGTCAGCTTTTTCGGGCAAACGAAGATCTTAAATAATCACGGCGACGGCAGTGAAGACTTTATCGCGATTATCACAACTCGCTCAATTTATCCATGCAGCTGAATTCTTAGGGAGTGCATCTAGTAAAAGGAAAGTTTGCTGCGACGAGTTCATGTATTAGAAATTTTCACGTTTTGTTGAGCAAGGCCAGGACGGGAGAGAAATGTCCAAAAAAGTATGATACACGGGCAGAGTTGTTGTTTTGCCCATAAAACAAACTGTTTCTGTTTCTTAAAGGTAAATTAAACTATACTTGATTCCCGTGTCATATTGGTTTGAATATTTGGGTATTTTTTTTTCATATTCATAAATGGTCTGTTTTTACCGGCTCAAATTCCTCAAAGTTTGTGTCTCTGAATATGCCTCTCGCCTTCTCAAAATTCTTCTAGATTATACACCTAATGTAGATCGTATGGGGCTTTCCTAGAAGAGTAATTTTACTTAACCCGTGAAATAGATAGTGGACTACTGCTAATTCTGTTGTATTCTTTTGTGTACTTGTCGTTAATTGGAATTAATAGTTAGTTAGTCTCTGTTTCACGGGTTAAGTAAAATCACTCTATGGACCAAGAGTCATAATTGCCCTGTTAAAGGATTTAAATGAATAGTTGTGTACTTTCCCTAGAAACACGCTTTTTAAAACCGTCGTGGGACAAAATCTTTTAAAGCTTTCTGCAAACCAAGATAAATTTTTTCCTGAAAAACTGCTGTTACCTCGAATATCTTGGGTAGCCATCTTAGCCGGGTCCCCTTGACCAATAGAAGCGAAGGAGGGCCACTTTTCACTTGATCATAAATGAAGAGTTTGAACCATACGGAGTTCACCTCAGGTACCGCTGGACCAAAGTGCGGCGGACAACAGCTGGTCACCGGGCGAATCTCATGACTAAGAGGGGCCATGGACACTAATAAACTGGAAAATAAGCACAAAGGTCAAACGATGATCAATGATCAGCCTCAGCGACTAACTGAGAGTAACAGGAAAAAAACCCGATTTCATTGTCAAACACACGCTATCAAGATAAAAATACCTTCCCTTTTCTAAAACAAACCAAAACTGATGTTAAGGCCAATAAAAACTGTCAAAGGTTTGTGTGTGCTTTCTTTTTGTACACCTACCAAACATCCCGGTCATAAGTCCTCTTTCCCCCTCCCCTTATAAGACACCCGGCCGTTTATAGGCCCATCAATATGCATCTTTTCATCCGTACGCGTTCTGGTTTCCTACAAGTTAGCGTTTTGAAAGTTCTCTGGTAGCACAATCATCAGCTTGCCTGGATCCTTTTTATTCCGCGGATGTGAGTCCCCTAGAAAAACGTCGTTATCTTTTACCAAATTGTGTAACCTCAGGCTTAAAACCGGGTTTCTTATAACAGTTTCCCGACGTGCTAGAAGACTTGTGTCATGTTTCTTTAGTCCCGCGCAGATTAGAAATCGTTACACAATTGAACGTGATCGAAAGAAGAGAATAAAAGGTTAACACAGCAATTATTGTCTTCCACGGAAAGAGAAACACTTCTTTGTCAATTCTGTATGCAAGTGAGTTCAAGTGGTACACGTACAAAGTAGTTTTGACAGTTACCTGTAATTCTTTTGTAAAACTCTACCACAGGCAGCAGAATCTAAACTATTGAGACTTTCACATCGCAGCAAATCTGTTCAAATAGAAAAAAATTCACCAAAAGTATTTAAAAAATTGTCCCCATGCATCTAAGAATAAGATTCACTTATATATATTAAGTACATTGAAGACTCCTCCATAACTGGGACACCTAGAGTTGCCCCCGGCTGTCCTTTATCATTTTCTTTTACTCTCGATAAGGCAGACGCTCGCAACCCGATAAAAATCACCTACAACAAAGCTAATCATCTAAATCCTTATGTCAACTTACTGATTTTATTACAATACATGCAGAACTAATGAGGAGAGGTTACTTTACCATCAGAAAGTGATGGAATACTTGCCTGATCGAGAACAACGTATGCAGTTACTCTTTTTAATCATTAAAACAACGAATTGCGATTTCAAAGGTGACTGTTAAACACCAGTGGCTAAACCCTGCAAAGGCTAACGAGGATGAGTTACCGTTTCTCGGTTGACGAACCCTTAAGTGCTTAAGTTGTATTCACAGAGGGTGATTTTGCAGGAAGTGTTCAAAGTATCCAATCCAAATCAGTGTAATTAGACTGGACAATCAAACATCCGCAGAAAATGAAATAAGCCAATCAGATCTCAAAACAAGTAGCCGGCGAGCGAGGGAAAATGCGAGAGAGCAAGCCACGATTGGTTACAATTTTAACTTCTAATTGGTTGACAAAATGGACCGAGATTTTTCGGCTAATAGCAATACGTAGCGATGCTCTTATAATAAATACCATGCTCCTTACCTAATCCCTTGGCAGGGACCTGATTAGGCTCTTTACCAAGGTCCTTGTTGTACCTCAGGAATAAGATAGTGTCTCTAAGGGTGATGGCGTGATCAAAATATCTCTGTGCTTCCCCCTCTGCGACACTATCCACCTAAAATAAATTAAGAACAAAAAAACATACATTAAATTCGGCCCCAGGAAAAAAAAAAGGTTTCGCGAAAGTAGTCTCGACGTTTTCTCAGACAAAGTACGTTTTAAATCGACGATGTGTCTCCCGCCAGGAGCGATTGGGGACGGTGTATTTGCAGACTACAGAAAGGGAAAAAAAAGCAATTTTTCCTCCAGAAGCCAGACATTTATATTTGCTTCGTGGTAAAGCAACAGGAAGAGAAACAAACAAGTGACAGCTGCAAAAGTGATACAGTTTTTCTCGACAAGGTAAGATTAGCCTGTTAATGCAGCCGCTAGGGACGTTGTCCTGCGAAACGTCCTTAGCGACGAAGAATGCCAACATTTGCCCAAATTTAACTTGCAAGGTTACAATAGAAAGGAATTTAGGCCAAGTGGTCATTAAGGGAAAAAGTATAATCATAACTTAAAAGACATAAAAAACAAATTTATTTTTAATAAGTTGTGAAATGTAGGAAATAGCTGCACGTTTATAGGGATAGTGTCAAAGTGTTTCTAGCACAACAGAAAGTACTGTTGACTCACTTGATAAGAAATGAAAAAAAAAATTAAACTTGCCTTTTCAAGCTCACCAAGAAAACTGTCTAGTGACTCATCAGTTAACTTTCCAACTTCAAACATTGTGACAGCATGGCTCTTAAGGCCCTAAAAGCAAACATGTTTTCGTTACCTCTTTTTTCTATAGGTAAACTGCTGTAAAGGCAAATAATTCTCAAAGCTTCTAATGCGTTTTTGATCAACGTTTCCCTGGGGGATTACTCTTCTTTTTAAAAGTTCAAAGCATTTCGGAATGGCCTTTCTATGAAACGTCAAGGATGGAAGTTGGAAGACGGATTCTTCGAGCCTTCTGATATATCTAAGAAAGAGGCTAAACAACAAAACTCTAAATGACAGGTTTACGCTAAATACATAAAGTAAATTGAAACAACGACCAGTACATAATACCTTACCGGTATTAAGAGGCCAACTTAACGAGAAATTATTGCACTGCACTTATAAACTACAAATCGTCCGTCTTCATTCACTCTTTTACCTGTGAAAGATTTCCCATCATGAGAAATGCTGTCAGTGTGGAGTCAAATAGAAATGCTATTCTCTTAGAGGCTCCCCCTGATAAACTCTCGGCTGAAAATATAACACAACAAACCAAAAAAAGAATACGTATTAGGTTCAAGTTATGAGGGCACCTTAGAGAAAAAGAAAAACTATGTCTGGCTTTTCTATATTAAGAAACTACTCTGGGTTTACTGCAGTTGGTATAGGCGAGTAAGCAATGAGGGAGTGTGGAAGTTGAGGGTTAACTTATACTACAAGCTGACCCCTATTTCCCTTAAAAAGTAGGGCAACAACAACAAAAACGTAAACTATTTGTGTATTTTAAATCGTACAGATTTCGGGATGCAACTTAAATTCAAGACTTTTTCCACGACTTTACTTAAAAACAATAATTACTTCGGCGGAGCGCGAAGTAAAGGATTCGCAACGATCAGGAATGTTTCAAAATTGCATCCGAATGTCCCGAAGTTGCTTCGGAATTAGTTCGAGATATCTTCGAGTTCTTTGATTTATTCTTATTCTTATTTATAATTCTGGCTTCTACGGCTATGTAGTTGTTTTTTAAGACAGTTTGGTGAAATGTTAAATTTTTGACATAACTCATCCAGAGCTCTTGACCTCCGTGGCTTGTTTTTATACTCTGCTCCACAAGTTTCCCACAGACATGGGTGCTTTTCAAGTTCTTTGCACAAATCTTTTCTTTGGGCCTCTGACATTTTTTCACTAATAAATTCACAATCTTGGGTCTGAACGTTCTCAACCTCCACTACCTCGGCCATGTTTACTTCCTGCCCAAATCGGATATGCCCGAGGTCAAGCGCGCTTACTCACCATCTTTCCCGCGTTTTTGGTGAGGGAGAATTGACCAGTCACAAGTGTTGTGAAGTGTAGCAAGTTGCGAATGATAAAATTGAAAGCTTGTTGCAAAAAGTAGAACTCAGGTCTACTTTGCGCAACGTGTTGCCACAACTTGCAACATCGAAATTTGTTGCGTGACAAGTTGAGAGCGAGGGTGGTAATACGGCCAACCACGCTTTTCAACTTGCAACGCAACAATGTTGTGCGACAAGTTGTGCGAAAATGTTGCCTGTATTACTTGACCTTTACTCAAAAGGAGAAAAGTAAGGCTATTTGTATGAAAGGGTATCCGGAAAAATATCATTTTCTTACCACTCCTCCGCATTCACCATTAATCCACAACCACGACGCCGAAGTGTACGCGTCTTGTTTCTTTTTAATCCTGGTTTCTTTTTCTTTCGTTCAAAAGGATTTTCTTGTATAAATTTCTCTCTTCCCTTTGGAGCATCCAGTCATCAAATTGTTAATTAAAGAATTAAACTGAATCTGTTTTTCAAGCTTTCATATCTGAGTTTAAATTTCGCGCTAACCCTGGGTTAACTTAACCCAACTTTGAACGACCCGGTCCTCGACAAAAGCAGAGGCACGTGAGAGGTCACGCGCGAGCGGCAAGCAAAAGAGGATGTCAGAGCGAGGAGTTATGAAGAGGATATCAAACACATTTCATCAGGAGACAGTAACCATATAAAAATTTTTGCCGTGATTTTTGTAGCAATAGCTCTAAACCTTGAACAGTTTTTTTCATTTCATTTCATTTTTCATTTTTCATTTCTGTTTTCATTTTTTCATTTCATTTTTCATTTTTCATTTCATTTTTCATTTTTTCATTTCATTTCATTTCTTCATTTTTCTTTTTTTTTCCAGTTTTAATCCATGATCATCCTTGCCATCCGCAGAAACGAACGACAAGAAACTGTGTCAATGCCTAAATATACGAGCTTTAAATAGCAAAACTGGACTAGGCTCTTACCGATAGTGCTAGCACTTTTTTTGGCATTATTTGGCTTCGCGAGCATTTTTTTTTTACATTTTATCCCAAAAAGCACTGCTAGCATTATTTTGGATTTTCGACTGATTATTTGTATAATTTTGTGTTAAAAAGCACAATCTGACTTTATTTATGTTGTCCAAAGCCGCATTTTGCCCTCATTTTAGTCAAAGGAGCCTAGGAGGCCTGGGGAATAGGTTTGATAGGTCAGCGGTTGCCCTCTAGAAACCCAGTCCACACTCGTTCCAAGATGGCGTCATCCACGTTGTCATCGAGGAGCAATGGAAGTCAGCCAGCCAAGGTAGAGATAGCTCGAGAGCGTACTCTGCCATTTTGTTGTTGAAAATGTAACTGAAAATCTGAAAAATGTAATATTCTATGTTTAAAAAAATCGGAAAAAAGTGAGCATTTTTATGTAACCCACGAGCAATTTTTTAAAAAATTAGCATTATTTTAGCACTTTTTTTGGCAAAAAACAAGCACTTCTTTAAGAATTTAATGCTTTTTTTACGAGCACTATCGGTAAGAGCCTAAACTGGACCATTAGTTTTGGAGTACAATAATACTATTGATGCGAAGACCGCAGCATGACATAGTCCCTTTAATAAAGAGCACACGTTCGTCAGCAAAATTGTAATCGTTTTTCGAATCTCTTGAAGTACTTGAATTCAATAGCAGCAACAGTGGCTGCAAAACTTTTGGTTGCTTTCAATAAATTCCAAACTTCATAAAACGGTTCACAATAATACCAGAACCAAGAGCTTATCAAAAGGGCTTATACTGCATGACAATGTTACGCTTGATATCTGATAATCAGTTATTTCCTTTTTCGCGTGATCCACTATTCTTAAGACATATGACGCCATGCTTTTGTTGATTTATTGATTTTAGAAAGGCCTTCCAAAGAATGGTACAAAATATCAGCCTTGAAAGTAGCGAATATCTGCCTTAAGGGCGAAGCCGCTAAAGGAATTATTCTGTGGGTCTTGCTTTGACAATGATATGCAAATCTACTCATATCAACTGTTATTTCCTAGAAAGAAATGTCCAGTCTGTAGTTATTACCGGAAATGTTAATTAAATTCATGAATTTAAAAAGAAAAGAGAAAACTCTAGAAAACTGGATGATTTGTGGAAAGTTAAACGTCTTCAAAATGAATGAGCTTACTCAAACGTGGTTTAAATGCCAACAGGATTTAAACAACTAAAAGGAGTGAAAAAAAGAGCAAAAATACAGCAAGAGTTGTTGGACATCACCCAAAACTGCTAGACCAAATTATATTTGTTTGTTGGTTGCCAACCAACTCTCTGAGAGTTTGACCCAAAAGTATTCTTGCTAACAGCGTTAGAATTTTGGTGACGAAGTTTCGACCTGCAAAACATTTGATTGTTGGTTCAACGAACGAGTAGACAACGCATCTGTATTCAAGGGAAGAAAATAAAAACTTCCTGCCTAAAAACACAGCGCCGATATTTGAACACGTACTGTGACGATTCAATTCGTCAGAAGCAGGTGTCCAACCATTGCAAGTCAAAGAACCTCGTGGAATTAATTAGAAGACAATAATAAACGTCGTCCTTTTTTAGCCATTCATTCCAAATGGCCTATTCCAATGTACTCGAAGCATCGGAAGAAAAATCGAATGGTACAAAAATATCAAGATTACTGATTGACGGAGGTACATACGTCTCGCGAATTTATTTCGACTCGTTTCATCCACCTGAAACACTTCCGCAAATATTAAGTCGGGAAAAAAAGAAGCTCGAGAAAGGGAAGAAGAAAGGATTGATTCGGGATTTTCAGTGGGAAAAGTTGTTTCCATCTGCTAGAAGTCCCACTTCGGAAACTTTTGACATGACGCTTTTGCATTTCTTGATACGCGAAATCTATCTTGATCCGACGGATGCCGGATCTAAATGGAATACAATGCCTGAAGAGAGTGACCAAACGGCGTTAGCTAATCTCATCCGTATTAGATGTTTTCGAAATGAAATTTCCCACAGTTCTTCGACAAGCATTCCTAATGATGCCTTTGAAGACATGTGGAACGACATTTCTTCGGCACTAGTGGCCTTAGCTTTGGACCAAACAGAGATAGACCGTCTATATAATGAACCTATTTATCCTGACACTCATGAACGTGTGAAGGAAGCCAATGAACGATGGAAATTAGCTCAAGAACTAAACGCACGATTAGAGGTAGTAGAACGAGATGTGCAGCAATTGAAAGAAAGGCTTTCCAACATTCGGGCTTCAGAGCCACGAAGTGAGTCCGAGCCTGACAGTTACCTTCCAGACGAAGTTACTAGTGTTTTCGGGCGAGATGAACAAATCAAGGAAGTCATTGAAGCTATCCAAAGTGGACGAGAAGCCGCTGTTGTGATAACCGGGGGGCCAGGAGTTGGAAAGACAACTGTTGCAATCAAAGCAGCCTACAAACTCGTGCAAGAACATGGCAAGAGTGTGATGTTCTGTGATTTAACATCCATAAAAACATTACGCGATGTCGAGATACTAATGCTTCTTGCATGCAGTAGTCACAACTCGCCAGATAACCCTCAACACTGGCTTTTTAACTGGAGTAAGGAGTTAAAGTCAAGCAAGACGTTCGTCCTCGACAACTCCGACGACGTTGTGGATCGTGACTGTGAGGAATTCTTGAAGTTCTTGAGTGGTATTAGGACATTCTCAAGACAAAAAGTCACTTTCATTGCAACCTCTCGGAGAGAATTCGGTGAAAGTATGAGACAAATTAGGATTGTCAGGCTGGGTCATTTACCATCCAAAGAGGCAAAGCAGGTACTAAGGAGTCGGATGACCAATCCTGATTCTTTCAAAGAATGTCTTTCTAAAGAGGAACAATTGATTAAATTGTGTGGTTATGTCCCTTTAGCACTTTGTATTGCTGGCTCTTTGCTTTCAAAAGGTGTCTACACGGAAGACGAATTAGTAATTCAACTTGAAACAGAACCCACTGCGGTTCTTCAATGTAATCGGAGACCGACGAAGGAAACCTCTGTTGAAAAATCAATAAATATCTCCATGGAAGCCCTTGATACATCCGAGAAACAAGCTCTGATACTGCTAAGCAGCTTTCCTGGCTCTTTCAATGACGAGGCTGCAAAGTTTTTAATTCGTAAAAACTGTTCGACGACCGCAGGAGACCAGGCCTCTTCAATTCTTTGCGAGCTCATGGAAAGATCTCTCGTAGAGAAGCCAAGTTTTCAGAGATACCAAGTTCATTCACTTATTCAAGCATTTTCAAGGGGGTTTGGTCTAGAGAGCTATCCGAACCTTTTGAATGAAGGCGAAAAATTGGCTTGCGCACATTTTATTTCTCGTATTGATAACAATGCTAAACAGTATTGGAGCAAGGACACTTGCAAAGTAGCCATCGATTCTTTCATCGAGGAAAGGCATAATTTTGAGCACTTCCTTCAGGTCTACATTCGAGGAATACAAAACCAGGAGCATACCACAGTAGAAATTTGTGAGACCTTTTTCGACAATTTCCGGCAAAAGTGTATGTATTTGGAAAAGTGCTTACAACCAAGCTTTTACATTCAGGTCTTGGAAAGTTTATTAACGTCACCTGAGCCAGAAATACAGCAACCTGTGAAAAGAGTTGAACTTTTGTGCCTTCTTGGAGGTGAAATGAGGAAGAAAGGAGAGAAATCAAAATACACTGATTGCATGAAGGAAGCCAACGAGCTATTTTCGGAATATGAACATGAGTTTAAGACAAAGGCATTGTCAGAAGTATTCTATCGTCGAAGTTACGCCCGCTACCTATCAGAGGAGAGAGGCAAAGGAGCCAAAAAGGAATATAAAACAGCACTACGCATCTGCGAGGAAAAATATCCTGATCATCCTGAAACTGCGGCAACCCTAATGTTTGCTAGGAGGTACGCAAAACGCCGCTATGATTACGGTGATGTGATAGACAAATACATCCGAGCACTGAATATCTTTGAGACGCAACTCGGTCTCCATATAATGACTGCTCAATGTTACAAAAAAATTGCAGATTTTGTTTTGACTGAGTCTGACAACATTGATGTAACACTTGAGTGTTATCAAAAGGCTTTTGGTATGATGAGAGAACTAGAGGTGGATGACCAAAAGGAAAGCATTTTAATGCTAAAAAACTACGGAAAATGCCAAATCAAAAACGGTAACTTTGAAAAAGGAGAAAAATTGCTGCTGAAAGCAGAAAGCATTGCCGAGAGAGAGTTAGAGGAAAATCATCAGTGGAAAGTCTTGGTGAAGACCGAACAAGCTGTCTTTTATCAAAAAGCAGAACGCCTTCAAGAAATGGAAGCAGCGTTGAAGGAGGGACTAGAGATGCACTACAAAATTGCCGAACAACGTACTTTAGATGGATTGGTGAACAAACGTGTTATCCGTGAAGTACTTAATTGCTATCCAGAGCTATTTCCACAGGAACAATATCCTCGCTAATAACGATGCACCCCTCTCTGAAACTAAACTCACCGTGGGATACACCATGCCGCCTTTTTTCAAATGAAGAAAATAAAATAATGGCTTTACTCTCACCTATCTATTTCATATAACTACAGCGACGTAACAATAGAGAAGGTGTAACGGTTGGCTTTAAGCATAAAAAAAGAGCAACTGAAATTGAAAAAGTAACGAAGATTATGTAACGTTTCCCATGCGTGTTCTAGCGTGAACATCACGCTAGAACAATAAAATCCAAACAAACAAACACAAAGCACCGCAAAGTAAAACGGTTGGATAGATAGATGACTGACTAAGAAGATGGCAATAAATTAACTTAGTTGCTCTTTGAATGAATACCCTTCGTTTTTGAAAAACGTAAATACGTAACAGTTAGCTAAAATATTCGATAGTCACTGTACTCTTTTTGATAGCCTGCGAGCGAGGCGAGCCCCACGCACTCGCGTCTCCTTTAGCGCGCGGCTTTCACGTGAATCCTCGCGACTCTCCCCCAATGGAGAGCTTGCTGAGCTTGCAGCTATTTTTTTATGTCAACTAAGTTGCAGCCTTCAAACAAAAATCTGATGCCCTACTAGCATTAGTGGGCTGATTTAGCAACAGGACGGGAACGTCAGTTGACGACGGGAAAGCGCGCGGAAAGGGCTAAATACGACTTCCGATGCTCAATTTGCCGCTCTGCCATTGGTCAAGCCAGCTGTTTGATTTGCGCGCGCCGTCTTCAACTGACGTTCCCGTTCTGTTGCTAAATCAGCCTAGTGTGCTCAGGCGACATACCTGGTGTACTGGAAACGAATTCGCCATTTGTTTCTTCAGCGCCGTTCACTGATATGGCTGATGATGTTGATGAATTTGACTTCTCAGGAAGGTTATTAAGATCGAGCGTCAACAAGTCTTCTCTGCTTCCATACCTGGTGTTTACAAATATAGGTGCAAGACCATAATTAGAAAACAGATTTTCCTATTTTTGTACATTTGTATATTCAATTTAAAAGATACTCAGGGAGATGATTTATTTAACAGTAGTTAGAGTAAGACCCAGAAAAAAACTCACGATCAAGAACTTCGTTCTCTCTCTATATCCGTTGAATCTGCCCTTGTTTCTAATAAGGATTTGAGTAATTTTAGATATTTTAAGGTACTGTCAATAATTTTGTTTTTTTAAAAGGAATTTTAGGAAATTTGAATAATTTTAGATTATTATAGGAGTTTTAGCTTGATTAACTTACCCATGGATTTTTATACCCTACATTTTTTGTAATTACTACATGTCTTAAATTAGATAGTGATATGTTTATTGTAGTTTCACATCAGCTCTAAGCTAACATAGACTGAACTATGTCAACAAGATATTACCGTTGTTGTTGTTGTTTTTCTAATCCGTAGAAGAGGAATGTTCTTTAAAATGCTAATTACATGCAATTCGAAGAGTATTTTAGATTATACCTATTAAACATCTTTGTTCAATTTTCATTTTCTGTTATTCATGTATATTATAATTATGTATGATAGTACATGTATATGATAAGTGTAGAGGAAAATCAAATTTAAGCCAGGGATAAAGTTGTTTTGTTCAACCAACAGTACAATGAATAACAACGTTTGATTGCAGATCCAGATCCTGAGATAAGAGGGGATTTTCTTGGCCCTGTGGGACTCATTTTGGCTTCGCCGCAGGCAATCAAGAGAAATTTGCAAAGTAAAACCAGTAAAAGTACTTCAAAGCTGAGGTTGTAACTTGCAATGTTCAAAGGCTAACATATTACTAATACACTGGTGATTTAGTAGACTTTTGAAAAGTGCGCTAAAAAAATGTCCTACGTGTTTGGAAACTTATACTGGTGTTGATGTTGGCACCATTTTAAAACTATAGGCCACCTCCGAGTTCCAAAAACCCTCACTTTCAAAATGAGGCTATAGGTGCACAACCTTTCTTGTGAAAATGAGTTTTATTTGCATGAGAATGAAAAATGATTTCCATATCAAAGGCTGAGCACCTACCCTCGTTTTGAAACAGAGGCCCGGGGGGACTGGGATATGGCCTATTTTCATGGGTATGAAGCGTTTTCAGAGAAAAAGAGCTCATTATTTTGAGAAAAATGAAAAGACATTTAGATTTATCCTTGCCCTTCCCTAGAACCTACACTTTTCAGACTTTGTTGTTCTTGATATATTGTCCCGTCAAAGAAGATACTATTAAGATGTCGTAGCAAATACCATTAAAAGTTTAGAGTACCTTTTAGTGGTTAAACTGTTGATTTTCGAAGTCCATGAGGAATGTAATTTTGACTCATCTATTTCTGCACCCTTCTTGTGGGCAAATCCTAATCGAATGTAAACAGATACTGCATTCTGTGAAGAAAAGAAAATATCGTTAAACAAATAAACAAGATAATGAGAACCAATGACTAAACAACATTAAGTAAACATTATCCAATATGATGAAGATTTAATTAGTCAGCTATTTCCAAAAGTATTTAAATCAAGTTAGCTAATGCTGAATAAAAACTTACCTTAACCAACTGTAAATCTATCTGTAAAACATTTGCAAGCTAAAAATGAAGCAAACATAAATCTTAGTTATAAAATCTGACTGCAATGTCTGATAAAACTTTAACAACAAACAAATTAGGAAGAACCAAACAGTAACATGATCCATAGATGATCAGGTTATTAACTTACTTCTGCTATGGTTGTGTTTTCATCTATTGAAACAAATATTTTGTACATAAGAGTTTCAAAATAATCTCCCAAAACTCTGTTCATCACAAAGTTCTCTAGAGGGGGAACTGAAAAGCAACAAAAAAGAAAATACCCATAGTTTTGGTTACATTCTTTGGAAATGAGATTTGAAAAGGGAAAAAGCAGTGACACCTCTCCTTTACAACACCTCAATTCAGGGCAGACCTCTAACTGAAGACAGGGACAGAAACTTTGCGCTGACATGACTCTTCTGGGTGCTGGCGTAAGTGCCTTGAGCAGTGTAAAACCTGCATATTTTGCACCACACAAGTCAAAATGAAACTGGTACACTACACAACTAGTTTGCAAGAAACAGTTTTTTCTCTTGAACGTCAAGTTCTGCTTGGATCTTGTTGTTAACAAAAGCTTGTTTTATAGCTAGACAAATCTTCTACTTGAAATCAGTCTGCCAAAACTTGGTCTTTAAATGGCAGGACTATTTGAATTGCAGGGCTATCTGCAGAGGCAGGCATTAGTAGCTGGTCTTGACCTTTGAAGCAACAAAGGTTCTTAAGGTAGGACTGATAAGATATTGAAGATGGTAAGGGAAAAGATTCCTAGCACTTAATCAGTCACATTCTTCACAAGTATGACTAATATGGTTACAAGGCACAGCCATCATGACACCACCAAACAAAATGATGATTATTATTGCTGGTATAATCCTACTCACCTACTATATAATCGCCATCAGCAATTGGCACATTTATGTAAATAAGGCCTTTGGTGTATAAACCTGCAAAAACAATAAGATCAACCTCACCCACTGCCTTGAAATGTCGATTCAAAAACTAGTTAATGAACACGTCAGCTAACCGTAGGGTATATTCAGTTCATAAAGAAATGACAACTGCAAAATGCTACAATATTAGTACAAGGTTTAAAATTAAAATAACTGGACCATGAAAGAAGGAAGTTAACTTGGAATACCCCTATCTTGGGCCTGACTTGTCCACAGTAATCTCTCACCATCTCTTCCTAGTGGCGTGCAGGGTGTGATGGGAAGGAGGAAAGCGAGCAAGAGAGTCTTCCTCTCTTCTCCCTTTCAAACACCCCCTGCTCCCGCCATGCACGTTACCCACGGAGATGACTGAGGACAAGTCAAATCTTGGGCTCTTTAGGCAACTGGGTTCCTTGTGTAAATGTTGTGTTTCTCTGGCTGTCATGTAAGTCCTGAAACTGCCATGGCAAATTGATTTTTGCCACAGCAAATCAAATCCAGATTAAAAATGACAGTACATAACCATTTTTTTAATTAGCTACCCTCTCCTGTAACATAAAAAAAAGCTCAACTGACAACCCTGGTTCGTAGGTTCTATGATTTTCTAACTTGACAGGTTTACCATTTTTCACAGCTTTGGGTTCTGTGTGTGCACATCTTCAGAACATTAATTTTGGAAACTCAGTTTTTTTCTTCTTACAATAAATGAAACACAGACTTAAACTTACTAGAATGCCTCATGCAGAGTGATGACAGTACCATAACATTCCATGAAAAACATTTCAGAAAATTTGAACAAACCCAATTCACTTCTAGAATAAACCCCTATAAAGTACAGGAATCAAACAAGAGAATGTAGAGTGGTAAAATGTTAATTTGAGTTTGCTAAGCCAAAGGGGTCAGATCAAACACTGACGCCACACCCTCTGGCTACTCAGGATCAAATCACAAGGCTGGTCAGCTTGTAATTACCTTGCACAACCTTGAGGTCCATGGCCCCAGCTTCAATCGGTCCTTTGTCAATGATAGAGTCAATCGCTTGATGCTCAGCATTGGAACACATCTAAATCAAAACAAACTACATGTTAAGAATGAGGCAGCAAGCAAATTTTAAAATCACTTCAATCGTTTTGGCACCAAGCCTCTAATAAGCCCCTTCTATGAGGTACCAAAACATACATGCCTCTCACACCTATGCGTAAGAGGTTTGAAATATGGGCACAGGGCACCAATGTAGTAAGAACCTCTTTTTAAGCCTGTCTTTCATTCTTCACTTTTCAAGAGCAACCTTGCAGAAAATTAATTTGGTGATCATCGAACAGCTATTTCTAGCAAAATTGTCACTTACATCCTTTTTAAATCGATTAATTCATTTGTTTTCAACCAGCTGCTGGTTGTTGTCAATTTTGACAAGCAGTTGTGACAAGAAAAAAGAAACTTTTGGAACTAAAAAAGAATACCCTTTACTTCACCTAAAAATGCACTGTAGTACAACTAACGACTCGTATATCATTAGCAGCAGAAGGAAAAAAAAGCCATGCAATTTCTTCTGAGGCTTTTTTTAACTTACCCTGATGTCATCCTCTGTCACATAACCAATCTGTACAACCCACCAAGGTTCTAAGACTTTCAGCACTGCAGGTTTAGTTGGTAATAGATCTCTTACAGGTTTCTTTCTGAAAAATTTCTAAATGAATAATAAAAGAAAAACACGCCTATCATATATACACAAGGTTCTGTAAGATCGAGCAGGATTGTGCATAAAGGCAGCTGGTAACAGTTCATCACTTTAGGAGGAAGTAGGCTGTAAAACTCTGCTAAGTATAATTTATAAGTTTCACTACCATGCATCACTGAGCATCAAGTACAAAATTATTAACTGCAATGAAGGAGCCAAGAGCAATATTGTTAAATATTTGTTTTATAATCCTATATCAATTCATACCTTTGATGATCTACAGGTATTCATCAATTCAATGTACTGATTTCTACCAACTGCCAACAGCCTCAAACCTGCAAGATAAAAAAATATTCCTCAACAGGCCATCTCTCAGTTCCAGTACCCCTCGCCTGTTCCAGGCTCTGAGATAGTCGGGTCCACAAAATTGAGAAAGCCCCGACTAGAAAAAATCTAGAGGACACTGGGGAGAGAAGGGTTGGTCTCTCTCCCTTCCTTTTTCCTTTTTTCCTGCCCCACCCCACTTTTTTGTGTGCCTTTCACTTTTGTGTCTTCCCCACTCTTTCACACCTCCCCACTATCTACAATACCTCCAGTTTTAAAATAAGGCAAAGTCCAAAACCTGTCTCGCAAAAATGAATTTATTGGCATGAGAATTAAAAAAATACACACTAGAATCTTGATTTTTCAATACTTGATTTATCAAAACTCCAAGTCAAGCTCAGGCTGTGGCTCAGGGTCATGAACTCATGGAGAAGCATTAAGCAAGTTCTAGAAACGGGTTTTCATGCACTCTTTATTACAAGGTAAGTGAAAAATTTGTCAAAGCAGGTAAAGTGCAAAGATTGCTGTTGTTGCACAATCAAGAATCCCTTCAGACATTATACAAAAGAGTTCTAAGCTGAAAAAAAGCAAGAGCCGATCACATGTTGAGTGAACTACAGTCGACTCCTGATAACTCGAATCCTCGCTAACTCGAACCTCGCGCTAACTCGAACCAAAATCGATTTTCCCTGGAATTCCGTCATACATTCACTGTAATTTTACCCTCGGTAACTCAAACCCTCGATAACTGGCACTCCCGCTAACTCGAACCAATTTTCGTTTCCCCTCAGGTTATTTTCTATATAATTTTACCCTCGATAACGCGAACCATGTTTTGAGCCCTTAAAAAGTCGGGAAAAAAGCCGTCTACTGGTGTACGAACATTGAATTTTGGACTTCCTATTGACGTGTTGTAGGAGTATAGTTTACTAGTGGAGGCTGATATTGATTGTCACAGGCTAACGTGAAGCAGCTTTACTTCTCAAAACAGTAAAACGCATGCTCTACTTAGGCTATGGTTTGTTACGTTACGTTCTGATTTATAATCTAGAAGTATCTTTTAATTTTCACTTGACATTTCTATAATTAAATGTCATTAAAATGTTCACTGTGCAGTGAAAAGTGTTTTTGTACCTTACTCTTGGCTATTTTCTTCGAGCTCCCGATAACTCGAACTTTTTTCGATTTCCCTTGAAGGTTCGAGTTATCAGGAGTCGACTGTACTAATGCAATCATTTTTTTTCACTGTGGGCTTCTGTTACAGTAAATTGAAGGAAATGCAGTCTAAACTCCATGCAAAATTAATGCTTACAATGTTACAGGTCACAATTAAATTCAGGTTTAAATTTTTTAACCTAAGTTGAATCTCAATTTCCTTTGTCTCCTAGCCCTCATTATTCATGAATAGGGCTAAGAGACAAAGGAAATTGAGAAACAACCTAAGTTAATTTTTATTTTCCTTGGAAGTTCAAATCAAAGTTAAGACTGTGGGGAACTCGTGCATGTATTGTTTAAAAAAAATTTTGCGCTAAAATAAAACATTTTTTTGGTTTAAATCAAATGCTCATGTGCCTGTCAAAACACGCTTTCGCATATTCACAAGTTCATTTTCTTTAAATAGCCCAACTGGAAATAGCCTCTCCAGGGTTCAGCTTTTGTAATCTAGCTACAATATCTTTTTACTCCTGCTAAAGGTTCGGGCTGTTCTTGGCATGTATTTTGTTTGAACTTCATTAGTTCAGCAGTGCTTTCACTGAATGTCTCCTAAATTTCTAGAAAAAGAGAAAGAAACCTTGACTCACAGTCAGCTGCAGTGAAGTTGGGCAAAGAGTCATAGCTCCTCTCATTGGACATGATGTTCTCCATAATGCTGCAGTAATAAGAAAATGGAGTGATCCTCAGGCCCTTGACAATGACATCTGACAGATGGTATGGGAAGAGCTGTCAAGGAAAAAAGAATTAAAATGATGCAAGAAAAGATGTGATCATCATGTCACGAGTGCAGGACAAAGAAAAAATCCAACTCCCTGACAGGAATTGAACCTAGACCTTCCGCACACTGGTTGGATGCTCTAACCACCGAGCTACAAAGGCCTCATGGTAAGCTACCCCATGTACAAGGTTAATATGTGAAATGCATCCTGCATACAGCTAGGATCAGCAATACCAATAAGCATCATGTGTGTGATAATAAAGAATGATGACCAAGAGTAAATTTTGAGTGGTTTCACTTGGACTAGAAAAGTCACATAACAACAACTTATGGATAATTCAAGTTATGAATATTAAACCACCCATCCATATCAAAAATAACATATACAGTGAAGGATGAAGCACTTTAGCATGGGGTAACAAAATGAGTGTTTTTCAATCAACTTACCATGAGATGCTGTTTACTGTACTGAAGTAAATCTTCATAATACTTTTTCTCGTCCCTTCTGACTTGCCGCACTGAAAACATTGACATTGCACACATCTTAATTATATCTCACATACACTGTACTTCATGACATTATTTTATGGTGAAACCCTGCTCTATGGACATTTGCTTTAAATGGCCAGTCATCTTTGCCCCAATCAGAAGCTCATATCTTCTCTTACAAATAAAATTTAGATTTAGATTTGGAACACTAAACTGTATTGGCCTTAAACTTAAACCAGTTTAGAACACCTAAACAGTATTGGCAAGGTAAACCCACACAACAGAGCTGGGCTCCATTTAAGTGTCGCTTGGAAAACGAAAATAGGGTCAGTAGCCTGAACAAGGCTCTCATATGGTACTCTCACCAGCCACCACGTGTTTTTCTCATCACTTTTTACTGCAAGACTTCACATTACTATCTTAGAACCTGGAATAGGCTATAGGGTCAGTTTTTTTTGTATATAACAAGCAAAAAGTGAACAATAGCCACAAAAGGAATGAAAAGTGCATAACAAAAGTGATCCAAAAGGGCCAATCAATGGTTCACAGCAGCTCAGAAGATAAAGATACAACAATCAAAAGCTACATAAATCAGGACACTAAAAGATGGTGATTAACATGGTTATTAAATGACCGGGATCCTTCATTGTTGATCACTCCAACCACTATAATTACGTCCCTATTGCTTTTTTCTATATCCCTCCAGTCAGGACAAGAGTGAGATTAGAGAAAGTGTTGTCCGACAGGAGCTACAGTTTTTCATCCATAACATTTGAAAAGACTAGAATACCTAACAATTTGGAGATGTGAAAATATACAGCACCCGCTTCTCGAGCAGGAGAAACCAGCCAACATTTTTCAATGGTTTACATCTGAGGAGTACACGCAGAAATTCCCGTACTGATGACATGACACTACCCCACAGCGGGCACACCTGGATAGTGCCTCTGACTTGTTGAAGCAAATTTTCAGCGCAGAATGATTAATCAGAGGAACACCCACAGTTGGGTGGTGAGACATCATCAGTAGAGAATTTCTTCACTTGTTCCTCAGACGGGGAAACCAGTGGTGGCGTAGCAAAATTCCGGCTGTTTTCTAAATGCAGTCTTTATTTTTAAAGACCCTGAGTTTTGACAGTGACAAAAAATATATAACAATATTATTTCAAATAATCTGTTGTCAAGAACACATTGGCAGTACTTAATCTTTAAAGCATAAGAATTACTCTCCTTTTTAAATATTGATACTCAGTTTATTCAAGATTTTCAAAATCAATCTTCTTTATAATTTCTACATAATATATTTGAAATTTACGCCATTTTTGCTGCATTGGGTCGCAGAGAATATAGCAAAAAACTCATTCCTTTACAATTACACAGTAGAAATTGTAATTGTCTACTTAACAGATATCTATTTAATATCAAAATACAGATTCTCCTCTCTTGTGCCCATATGTTTCTTACACAGGAAGTGAGGAGAAGTTGCCAATATATCAAAAGAACTCACAGGAATGATTTTATGTGTCATTCTCATAACTCCCCTTACCAATTAGGCACCTTTTAGTGTATAGATTATTTTTTGCTGATGTCAATCAGAGTTTAGAGATACAGCCTTAGCTAAGGCACAAACCCAAGGAGATATTTCCTTGTGAATTACCAAGGAAAAATGTTCCAGTGATTATTAAATACATTCAGTTATAAATCTAAAGGCACAAAAAAATAACAATCACCTTATTGTCTATAAACTGTTAGATTCAAGTTAGTTAATTACACTTTTGATGTTAAAACAATAAAATACTCTCTATTATAAACAATTTATAGCTGGAGTGTATAGTCAGCACAAATCGCATAATCGTAAAGATGACACTATTCTGACGTGTGAATAATAATATTAAAGCGATCGTGTTTTTAGTTCTTTAGCTTCCTTGAGATATGGCTGCATAGTAGCAAAGAAAAGGTAAAAACATTTGCTTCTACTTAATATTTTTTAATATAAGGGACCATTTTGAAATTAAGCTGAAAATGTGAAAGTAAGAATTCGAAACCAAAAGTAAACATTTCACTCACCAATATTTCCTCGATATCTCAGCTGGTTTCGTACACTGTAGTCGAAGACACATTTTTCCCACTCCTTTTGACTGTTACCCAATGACTACGTTAAAATGTATATAAGGTAAAAGTGAGAATTTTAGCCACTAAATGCCGACATTGAGCTTATCAAAGAAATAAATCCACTTTTAATTTCCATTTCAAATTGATGTATGATCGCTATACAGGTAACCATTGAGTCATGACAAAGCCAANAATATTTTTTAATATAAGGGACCATTTTGAAATTAAGCTGAAAATGTGAAAGTAAGAATTCGAAACCAAAAGTAAACATTTCACTCACCAATATTTCCTCGATATCTCAGCTGGTTTCGTACACTGTAGTCGAAGACACATTTTTCCCACTCCTTTTGACTGTTACCCAATGACTACGTTAAAATGTATATAAGGTAAAAGTGAGAATTTTAGCCACTAAATGCCGACATTGAGCTTATTAAAGAAATAAATCCACTTTTAATTTCCATTTCAAATTGATGTATGATCGCTATACAGGTAACCATTGAGTCATGACAAAGCCAATGAGCAGTGTTCATAAAGGTATTTCTCCTTTTTCTAAATAGCAATTCTTTCAAATTGTTCTTCAGTTAACACTATATAAGAAAGGCTAAAAAGATTATTAGCTCAACGATAAAGCACCATGGCCATACATTTTAGGCATAGAAGATGAACATGGTTTTACCTGCTTTAAGTTCGACGGTAGCTTGACCCAAGGATAATTATGAAGAATGTGGAACTCAAGATCGGCACTAAGGGTAGGTCTAGCCATTTAGTCCACTAAAAGAGCAACAGAATACCCAAAGATGAAGCGAAAATACTCCACCTTCCATGGCCTCACATTTTACTTCATGGGTCTCTCTGCTAATGGTGTTAACCGCTGAACGAAGACGATCAAGCGGGCTCGTAAAGGACACATAATCATGAAGAAAGTCGAGAGAAAAAGGTGAAAACGCAGAATTTAATTATCCTTAATTTTGGGTGAAGGGGAGGGGTGGTCTTTTGTCTATTTTGTCAAAAATCTTTTTTTTTTTTTTTGATAGCGGAGACAAGAAGGTGACCGCATTTATATCGAGGTGGCTCTAAGGTGGGGTTTCACTGTCCTGTAGTTTGTAAGAGCTGTTTCTCACATGTTTCTCAATGAAAGGATTTCAATAAAAACAGCTTACCTTACTTAAAATGTGTGTTACGTCTCTCCTGTGTGGTCCACGGGCCGATTAATGGCCGTTTTGTGGGTTTTTATGTAACCGGTTTTCTCTCTATATATAAAGGTTTAAACCTTTATATAGAGACATAGAGAGAAAACCGTTTACATAAAAACCCATAAAACGGCCATTAATCGGCCCGTGGACCACGCAGGAGAGACATAACACACATTTTAAGTAAGGTAAGCTGTTTTTTATTGAAATCCTTTCATTTTTGTAGGTTACAGAAACGATAGGTTTTTTTCCCATACAAATCCTTATATTTTGAATGATGTTACGCGACAATGCCGCGTTTTCGAGCTTGGGCCACCTGTGTTCTCACCTCGTGCGTTATCATGGCAATGAATATGTTTGATCATGTACATGTAAGAGCGTCCTCGGAGGCTTTGAAATGGTTTTGAAATTAAAATTCTGAAATGGTCAGCCGAAATATTGTTATTATCATGATCAGCTTTACTGTAGTCTTTGGACTTCTCGTTTTTTAGTAGTAAATTAGCCTGCGCGTCCTCGAAGATTTCTCCCTTCGCCCTAGAAAAAGACACCTGCTACGCAGGCTAAGAGTAAATGACAGAGTGGAGATTCTTCTGTTGGGACATTATGGGTACAAGATTGATGGTTTTCCTAGCCATTTATGTACTTCAACTAATTATTTCCTACCCCTTTAGGCAAATCCTCCCCGTGTATAAGCCCTTATAACAAAGAGTATCCCCCGCAATCCAAAACATTTACTACTATTACAAAAAATATTTTTCAGCACCAACAATTTAATTTGTTGACAGTTTAGCAGAGCTCCCGAAAATCATCCGGATCCCTTCATCAGTAATGAAGTTTGCTGTTATTCACAGCCCCCTACGTTATGTTGCCCCCTCCCCAGCGAGCTCCCCAGGGAGTCCCCCAGGGAAATGACTTTCATTCGTCTCCAGGTCTTCCCGGTAATCATGACGGTGGAAAGCAAGATGGCGTCCCCTGATCTTCTCTCTTATGGGTTCTCCGTGATAGTAGCGCTTGGTGGTGTTATTGGTTACATGAAAGCCGGTAGGTATGAGGGAAGTGATTCTTCACACCCTGGCCAATGCTTTTAATTTGACAGTGATGCTACAGAAATACAATGATAGAGCGTGCGTGCTTTGTCAATACTTTTGGTGTGGCCTCGTGCAGTACGTGTTCGCTTACGAATGATTTAAGTTACGTAACCGAAAAACAAAATTTTTGGAAAGATTATCACTTGAGACAGAACGAATTTTCTATGTACGTCCTGAACTTTTCACTTTTGTCTACATTCACGTGCAGGGCTGTCAACCCCCCACGTCTATTGATGGGGAGTGGGTGATAGATGACGTAATAATGGAGGCCACATGACGTCATTTTTTGGGAAAAAAAGGCGCGAAAAAGATGTTGTTTTAATTGTAACATTTCACCTAATTGGTTTACTTCCCACCAATCACATTATTGCTTATATTACAATGGCATACCAGAGTTTGTGAGGAAACGTTCAATGTTAACAGAAATATAGCTCAAACAACGTAAAATATTTGAAATTTCATTGTCAGAGAGTCCAATCTACAAGAAATGGCAAACTTCGGCAATTATCCGGGAGATTTCAGACTCTAATCTGGAGATCAGGAGAAACGGTTTAAAATCTGGAGTCTCCCGGATTATCTGGGAGAGCTGACAGCCCTGCACATGTACCAAAGAACCACCTGCGGTATCTGGTTACTTCGTTCGGGGTCTAGAATACTCAGACCTCAGACCTCAGACCCAAAAACCGGAAACCCCCCTCTGGAAAACTCAGACCTAGAAAACTCAGACCCCACAGGAAAATCTGACTAGAATAAGCAAATGACGCATTTTTCTTTCTCTTTCTGAACTTGGATATGGTTGTTATGAGTTTGCCTATATATTTTGACAAAGTGAGACAGTTGAAATAATCATGATGAAGTTTTAAAGAACGCAAGTTCTCTTTTTGAGTGACGTTTTTTTTTTTGGGGGGGGGGTCTGAGTTTTGTAGGTCTGAGTTTTTCATTGTGATTTTTTTTTTGTTCGCTATTTTGCATGATGTCGCAGCAGATTTAGAGTTAACTGATTATTTGATTCAGCTATAATATAATAATATTGAGGGCAGTACTGACAAAACTGATTGTTTGAATTCCAGGCAGTATACCATCACTCGCTGCTGGACTGACATTTGGGGGAATTTCTGCAGCTGCTGCTCACCAGACTTCAGCACACCCAAGGAACCTTTGGGTTATGCTGGGTAGGTCACTCTGGTTACTACAAATTAATAAAAAAATTGGTAGAAAAATGCACAAGTTTCTGTGATTTATTTTTGAGTGTGTTGCTTTAGCAGATTACGTACACTGTCTCAATAAAGGTAGTGACAATGTTGCCCTTTTTTAAGCATTGATATTGAAGAATTAAAGGCACAAGTACAGGAGAAGCACAACTTTATACCTGCAAACTTTTTTAAATTAATAGGCGTGGCATTTTTATCCTCAGAGTGCCAGGGATTTTCTTAGGGGTCCAATAATATCCGAAGATGTCCAAAGACGTTCTCAGGAGTTCGGTCGAACAGTGACTTTCCCTAATAAATTCAGAGAAAGTTGATCACTCACATTGACTTTTCTTTTCCCTCATTGGTTTCAGTCTCTTTAAATAATTAATATATTTTTCAAAATGTGTCAGTTAATGCTGTTATCGCATAGCTTGCAAGCAAGCTCTCCAGGGCGCTCTGGGGTTTGGTGGGACAAGGAAGGAGAGCTTGCAACTACGTCACTGGAATTTGAATTCCACCTCCAATTTCCCTGTGACTCCCTGTCAAGTGAGCTGTCAGTCTGCCAATCAGCGCAATGTGGAAACGAGCGTAAATGTAACCAAACATTGAAAAACACGTGCCAAGGGTAATGATGTCAATACTAATAATGTCATCTCTGCCAATCAGCATTTTGCATTGACCTTTTTGATGAAGATATTCAAATTCCAGAGACGTTCTGAATGAGAATGAGGCTATAGGTATCCAGCCCTATTGACCTCTTGCTTGTTTGCTTTATCTGAGGCACAATTTGGTTTACCATTAATTTACTGTACCATCTCTTTCTGATTATTGTTAGTGTTTTTTCATTACAGTGACATCATTGGTGTTGTCTGGAGTGATGGGAACTAGATTCATGAAAACAGGCAAATTTATGCCAGCAGGACTAGTGGCTGGGTTAAGGTACTTCTAACACTCAAGCTTATTAACTCTACTGACTGTATGGAAAATTTAATTTAGAGCACTTTCACCACATTGACATGTTAAGGCCAATGTAAAGAACTGGATGCCAATTTAATTGTTGCCTGGAGATAGACAACAGCAACCTTGAGATTTAACAAAAAGTACAAAATCATTTGTGTCTTTGGAATTTCGAGCTAACTGAATCTCATTTTCATTGTCCAGACCTTTGATCCCATCTGTGTGTGGCCATTCCCAGAGATTGTTTTTTTCCCAAGTGGTTCCTTTTTCATCGCATACATGTAAGAGTTAGATCAGAGAGAGTGCTGTAAGATGGAGCCTATGATTATTTCCAAGAAGAGTAGAAAAAGTTTAACCATCTGCAGATGTGAAACAAAGACAGCATTTCCTTTTCAGTTACTTTAACTCCCTGAGTGTTGTTTCAGCTGGGAATTGAACCCTGCCCTACCACGCTGAACTCTGGTAGTCAGCTGACTACTGGGATGGAGGTTCTGTCTGGTTACAGTAGTATTGACCACTTCAATTATTCTTGTTGATTTTAGTGTTGCCCAAGCTGTGCATATGTCCTACCGACTGATGAATGAATAGAAGCTGATGACTGGATTTACTGTTAGTAGTCACAAAGTAATAATCTAGGATCTAGCATTTTAAAAGACAGAGTGGTTTGGTTTCACATCAGCTAGCAGGTTTTCCATTTGTATACATGCACTGTACATGTACCATGACTCATTCATCGGCTGGAAATTCAGCAAGAATAATACTTTGTAACCTCATACAGTAAATTTCCTTCATACATGTGCATAGAGAACCATTTCGTTTGTACATGTTTAGTACCTTCTTCTTTACATTATTTTTCAGTAGTGAGGTCTAAAATGCAACAGCTGAATACAGTGTGTATGCAACTCTTTATTGGCCAGAGATGTTTAGTACATTGACTTGTATCATTACACTGACTAAAATGTCCTTTGAGGCACAAAGTTTCAAGGAAGCTAACTCACACCTGTCATACAAATAAAATCCTGTGTGTTTTGTAGCCAATAAATGTTTTTATTGCTGTTGTTGTTGTTGTTGTTGTTAGAAAGCAGCTGAGTGTTTAAAACTAGCTTGGTGGTGTATGGATATTAGTAGAACCACCAGAGCAGGAAAAAAATTTGAGTGGACAAGTAAATGTCATTTTATACTTGCCACCACTTAAATATTAAGGAGCTTTAGCAATGGCGATACGAGAACGTCAAAAAAGCAATAGGTTTATTAAGCAAAAGGACAACTTTACACGTGCATCATGCTTTTTTGTACATTTCTTTGCCATCACTGCATGACTACGACATGAAACTACCTAATTTAACATTTTATGGAGTTCGTACACAAGTGACGATGAATAACCGCCATCACCGTTGTCGATGCTAAAGCTCCCTATTACTTGCTGTAGTTCTCAGGTACCGGTAATGTCTATAAAAAGTGATGGTTTATAACAAAGTGCATAAGATACAGGGTAACTACTGGATTTGACCAATATGGTGATCAGAGCAGCAACATGAGTGAGCAAATGTACACTTGGATTTTAAATTGATTCATGCTTTCAACTAATTGTGTCACTCATCTGGCACTGTTCAGTTTTGAAATAGTTTGTCTGGAAATTATTATCATCCACCAAGCTGAAACTTTCAAACAGACTCACAGGACCACTAAGGCTAATTTCACTTGCCCATTGGGCCACCAAATTTCTATTTTAACTTGCCCAACATCAAAATTGACTTGCCCTGGGCTTTTTCCTGCCCTGACCACTCTTTCGTGTATTATTTTAACGTGGCCTCTTGATTCTTTTTCTTGCTCCTTGTGGCCTGTCTGTTGTGACACCACAAAACAAGGTTCACCATTATTTTGGGAGCTTAAATAAATTATGTTGAAAATAAACTTTGCATAAAAATGGTGTGAAAAAGCCCCAAGTGACTTCTGATCTAACATGATATTCTCTGTTTCTCAATATTTACAATATTTTAGCAAGGAAAGAGAATCTAGCATTTGAACAGAATCTGACTGAGGCTATATTCCAGGTAACCCCTCCAATACAGTGCACAGGCATACTCATAAAGAAGGCCTCATCAAAAATGTACAAGACTATTTCTTTGTCATACTTGAAGACAAAAATACCATTAACTGGTAGAACTAATCTTTTTAGTATAAAAAGTAAAAAAAATAATTTAACTGATATAATTTTATTTACATTATACGGTAAGTTTTAATATTACAAGCAAGTGGGCTATTTATAAGGCATTTAAGAGACACAATTTTTGCCAAATGCAGAACGAATTAATATTTGAGCAAATGCATCACCAAGCTTTTATTGGCTTGACCCATATTTTGTGTCAGTGTCTGGTGTTTGTTCAAACAAAGACCATCAAGTTTACTGAAAACAGCACATGGGCAGCAGCTTGGATAAACCTTTTACCTATGAGGACAGCACTACTTTGGGGTTGTGCACATTAGTTACAGGTGCAGATCTGGGATAAAAACTGACCAATTTCCTAAATGAGTGCCAAGGGCACAAGTTTCTATTGGGGTCCAGGGCATTCTTCCCTGGGAAATTTTTTGTATTTTAATTCCCTAAAGTCACCTTTCCAAGGTTTCTAAGACATTCAGACAGGATATTGGCTATATTTTAACTTGGAAAGTGTTTTTTTTTTCATTAAAGATATATTTATTTATGAAAAATTGACTGATTTTCGTAAAACGGTGGAAACCAGGGTGGATCCAAGCCTGAATTAACCCTTTAAGCTCCAATCTGCACCTACAAAAATTCATTTTCCAGACTGATGTCCACAAATTTCTTTAAAGAAGTGGCTGAGAGAATTTGATAAAAGATCAAAGCATTTTCCTTCAGGTGAGCATTTCATTAATTCACATAATCTCTCTTGATTATGCAATGATATAATGTTAGGAGGAAATTGATGTTGGTCAGTTACAAAGCCATACAAACAAATTCCTTTTTATTCACAAAGTCACTTTCTAAAAGAATGTGACAGCAGGGGAGGGAAACAGTATTTATTAAGGGGTAGCACTTACTCTTACTTCAGCTTCTTATTTGTCCCATAGTGGTCTTAACCTTGCTAGTTGAATGGTAGAACTATACATTAAGCCTTGTGCAAGTGCTACTGTAACTTCCTAAGAACGAGCTGCTGGAGACTTGCTGTTTGTCCTACGTGCCATGCCTGGCCTGGCTGGAGACTTGGTAACACTTTCTCTTCCCCTTGACTCACTTCGTCCCCGTGTTTCAGAAGTCTTGCGCCCCTGATCAGATGAACTCCTTCCTCCTGGTGTTCCTGATGTCCTCTTTGTGATTGTAGGTTTCTTTGCAGCTGCACGAACTTTCTTCCTCTCTGCTGCTTTCCTGGCTTCTTCGGCTTCCTCTTCTTTTCTTTTCTTTTCCTCCTCCAGTAATTTTTCTTTCTGCTCAGCAACAGCATGGACTTCCTCTATCATGTTAGTGGCCTTGAAAATTAACACATACTCATATTGTAACCAAAAAGGCAGCATAATAATAACTTTTCTTGCACTCATTAAAAAGAACTTTAAAAAGCTATAACTTTGTTTTAAGCCTGTGATCCATGAAGGTTATCGATGCAGGCCTTTAACTATTTGCCTGACTGTTTTCTGTCGTCTTTTGCATTAGTGCAATATCTGATTTAAATTTTGAGACTAAATTTATGAATGAAATCCACATGTATATGAAAGCACCACCTCAGCTTAAAGTCAGATTTTAAGTAACGGTTTCATGATAAATTCACCCTTGAAAAATAACAAAAAATAGACACAGGGGCACCCAACGACTGTTTTCTGTAAAATATATGTTCAGACAAGCAGATATTGCCTAGAATTTTCTATTTCTTGAGGACGGCTAAAAATGCCTAGATGACTGTTCCATCGAAGCTCATCAAATGAATTTCCTAAGATTTTCTGGCATCTAATTTTTCACATTTCACTCACCAGATTAAGTTATTTTTCATAGAAAAAAGGAAACCTTAAGTTTTAGTAATCAAAAATGTGATGGAAAGAAGAATCAGAAAAATTCTCTCCTTCGCAATGTTAAATTACATCTAAAATTTTTGGGAAAAAAACCCTGAATCCCTCATAATTTCGAAAAGACTCAAGTTTCTCTTAGGATGACCGAACGGATACAAGTTTTATAGCACTGCTTAGAATGCATTTCTAGAGATCTAAATGTACTCTGAATAGCTTAAAGTGATTTCAATGTACTTGGGAGGAAACCATTGTTGGGTGCCCCTGTAGACAAGGTACCCAATAATGGTATTTAAAAAACGGTCCTGTTACATAACCTTTTGACTGCAAGAGAGTGGTATCATTTCTCTAGGAAAAGGGTAATAAAATGCATCTTCCATCTACTTACCCAGACATAGAAAGTAGCAGCCCCGGCACTGACATCTCTGATGGTCTCCAAGTCCGTTTCCTTGAGGTACTTGTCAAAGGCAAAATCAGCTTTTGCCATGTCGACATGCAGTGGATCCAGAGATGTCACTTGTCTTTTCAATCCATCTTTGCCTGTCTTCCCAAGCAGTGCTTGCATGTTCCTCCAGTTTAATAAATCCTTCTCAGGGTAATTTAGAAGCAAGTATGTTGCAATCATAACCTACCAGAGTAAACATAACAAAATTGTATTGATTTAGAAAAATGGGTAGGTAAGTGAAGACAAGAAATCTTACGTGATTATGTACTTAGTGGTACATACTGAGTAGATTTTCATTTAATCACCGTAGGCAGTCTATCCCATCTTACACCATCTGTTCATCTCAGAGAACCAAACAATGACCTTTTCCCAAAACATACTCAAGAGTGCTTTTAGTAGTTTGCAAACTGCATTTAAGTGGCATCATTAAAATATTTTCATCTTCACTGTCCTCCTAAGGCAACTTTCTCCATTTCAAATTTTTCTGAAACTTATGTATCCAGATAGATAATCCGCTTAATCCACACTGAAATGGGATTCAAAGGATTTCATAATCCTTTTCAGAATCTAAGCCTTTATTTCTACTCTACATCATCCTGATAGCTTTTTAAATCAATCAAAAAGAAAAACTGACCTTATAGGGGTTGAAATCTCCGGATCACCCCCCACCCCCTTAGGGATGACTGGGGTAATGCGGGGCAATTCACTTCATAATCACATAATTTTTGTTCACTGGTAGGCAGGGGATACGCTAGAAATCAAGGTCTTCATCTCCCTGACAGAGGAATAAGTGGGGCAGTCTCTCTGTAGTCAGCGTTTTCATTTTCACACTGCATAGTAATTTTGCAAACATTTTCATCAGTTCCTGCAGCTAAGAAATATGTCTTTTGACGCAGCTGTCAACACAAACTGTACCATTTTTACGAGCATATAAGGATTGTCTTAGCTGAGTTGTGTCTGATTTAAGACACTAACACATTTTCTGTTGCCATTTATATGAGAAGTTCACAAGACACGTCTTATTTTCCCCAGTATAAGTGGCCCAATAATAATTTATTTTATTTAATAATTTATGGTGTAGTTGTATCGTGGAAAGGACAAGGAAGACACTTGTAATGATTGAGTCATTCCACAATAAAAATTCCAGAAGAACGTAAAACATGATTTGTAATTTTTTGTTATCTTGGATTTTGTGACTTCAAGTTGTAGTGTCCTTAAATAGTCGTCATTTTTCTTCTCCATCAAGGGTTTGCACGTGTTACGATAGCTGCTCCAAAATCAATGTGTTTGTTCACAGTTATCGCCATGGTATTTGTAATTCCAAGTTACGCTTGGCGATAATAAGATTAGCAGACAGTTTTAAAAAAGAGAGTACCATGTGTGTTGGATTTATGGAGACGGGGCAGTTCACCTTTCACTTTGGCCCCAGGGAGCAGAGTATTTACTTGCCTTCACTTGTATANTTTTCAATCCATCTTTGCCTGTCTTCCCAAGCAGTGCTTGCATGTTCCTCCAGTTTAATAAATCCTTCTCAGGGTAATTTAGAAGCAAGTATGTTGCAATCATAACCTACCA